GAAATAAGACATGACTGAAAAATGGTCACAATAGTCCGTATATATTTATTCTTTGATTTCTAGATTATTTTATTCGGAAGATATCATTCTTTCACCTTGATTCAGTTTTATCATCACTGAAACTACAACTTCTAAATACTCCAATATTTATTCTAAGCTTCTAATGTAATGTAATGAGAACTTGAACCGAATTATATTGATCGATAAGTTATTTTCTTATGTTGCTTATCTCTATTTGTTACATGATTAACAAGTATCATATCAAAGTGAAATGCCTTGGTAACAAATTTTTCAAATAAAAGATTATAGAATAACAAAACTATTCATGTTTTCATTGATTCATTTATTAACAGTTCGTAAAAATAACAGTTAAAATATGAGAGGGGGGAGAACAGTGGGGTTTTTTTTAATTTTTTAAAAAAACAGTAACCCCCCCCCAGTTATGCTTGTTTTAACTAAATAAAAAAAAGAAAACCTATCTATTTAATATATATGATGCAAAAAAAAAATAATAACCGAGGCAACAAAAGGAAATAGAACTCGATTGTTAACTAAGTATAATCAATACAGAGAAATAAGAAAAACCATACTACCATAGAATGTAGAAGAGAAAAAACAATCTAAATATGTGTACATAATTTTTAAACTAAAATTGATTGTACATAATGATTTGATGTCAATGGACAGTGTACGTTATGTTGTTACTGACACATATATATATATATTTCAAAGGTGAAGCAAAGCATCAATAGAAATGTAGTGGTGTAAATAACTTCTCAATGCAATTTTGTTAACATAGAAGAAAAAAAAAGTCAAGTGACGATGACAATAACAGAAATAAACAACTGAAATGCATTTTATTAATGACGATAATATGATTATGCTAATGTAGGCAATTTGTTATTAGTGACCGCTGTCGATGTGGATGATGTAATTGCAGGGATGGTGGTAGTGGGGATAGTAGCGTTGATTGTTGTTGTTGCTTTCATTGCAACATGTTCGAAACGACCTAATTGCAATGGACTAGAACATTCAGTTTCTAAGCTATTATCATCAATATTATTATGAGTAGTATATGAGTTCATTGTTACTTCATCCGTGGAATATGGATGCCATACAGTTCCCCAATGCGGTGGTTTACGTACAGCTCGTTTTCTATTGGCATTATTTAAAAGATCAGGATCAACTTCATTCATTACTCTGTGTAAAAAAGACAGGTAAGTACGAAATTATTGATCAAAGATGAGAGAAAAGTTAACGAGAGATGTGATAAATCGGATCGATGAATAAAGTGGGACAAAATACGAAGTTATTCGAGTATTAAGACGATTGGTAGCTTACTTAGTACTGGAAAAGACACGGTTTTTCAACAAATCCCAGGTTTGTAATACCTCTAAACCTAATTTGATCTACATAATTGGCTATTATTCACACTAACCTTTGCACAGAACTACCAAAAAACAAAAGAATTGAATTAAAGAAGATTTGAATCAGGAATTGGTGCACGGTTATAGCTATAGAAATCAATCGATTCAAGCTTGATCTTTTTTGTATTTGTCAAATAGATATATATGTTTAACATTTATACCATAAATTATTACCTCCCGAATGCCTTGGTACGGCAGAGGAAGAGGAGAGTCAGCTCTCCCTCTTCAAATGCTCTCATATGGCCACGCGTATACAGCCACTACTAAGGATGTCCTACTCACTGCTTACCATTTCTTTAAAAAATACATTAAAAACTGAGAACATAAACCTACGCTCTGTATACATTCGTATTCAACTTAAAATGACAACAAAGTGAAAGTGTCAAGATTTAATTTCTCAGTTTCAAGGAATTAAGATAAAAGTGAAAATCTTTAGTGTAATCAAAGAATCACCATTACGTAATTTACCATCCTCAATACAGAAACATACACATAGATAAACATAATTTATGTTGGGTGTTTTCAGAAGGGAGAAAATGAATAAGAAATGAGGGTTTTCATAAATGTGAACAATTACTTGTGCTGTGATTTATTCAAATCTTCTGGCCAATCCGATGTACACATTGTGTCCAGTTTAGCTTTCCATATACAACTTGATTCATCTTCAATTGGATTATTGGTTGAATCGAATATTGGTGGTGGATAAGCGGCAAAAGGAACACTGGCTAATGAGAAACGATAATCATCATATTCAATTGGTTTATAAGCAGTCAGAACTGCTTCACGTGCTGCTTCGGCTTTACGACGTTCAACAAGATTTAGAAAATCTGGACTGGATAAACTTTCTGGCGGTTGATGTATAGAAGCAGCTAACATTTGTAAGCCAACTGATTCAGCAGCTGTTTTACCAATTCCAGCTAAATTGCTTCCATACAGTGTATTAGTAGGATCATCGAAAATCATTAATGAATAATTTACTGGGATTGTAGTTTGTAGTGTATTTGTAGGCCATAAACTTTCCGGGAATGGAGAAGCGAATTCTGTAGGTAAAGGTGATGTATTAAATTGGCACGAATTTATATCATGAATATATAAGTGTAGTTGTCCAGCTTCAGTGGCGAAAACGACACAATTCCCACTAAATAATAAGGAAAATGAAATATGACAATAAATGCAACGTATTTCTGAACAATGTCTCTCATGGTTGACCAAAGGAGAAAATCAAACAATAAGCTCTATGTTTTGACGTATTTAGTCAGTATCAATCACTACATCGGTAACAATTTAGCCTTCAAAGATATCGGAAGGATTCCATTGAACTGACCTATTGTTTTCGTAATTCATCTCTTTACATATTAGCATAAGCCATAGGAACATACACAAATAAACCTAATCTTTGTGTACAGAAAACATTTGTACAACCTTTTTATTTGCGCTGGCCATCAACATAGTTACGCTTTTTCAGTCTTTAGCTTTAATTTCTTATTCTTACGTAATTTGTCCTAATATGACTTCATTATTTAATTTTCTATGAACATCTTTCATGAATATATATATGGACATAAATGGAAAAAAAATGATAGAAACTTACTTTTGTGATAGATCTGTGGCAACTAGTCGGTCGTAACCTAACCACAATTGACCTAAATCATTGGGGGAAAACGCAATTTTACCCCATTGTATAGTTTGAAAAGCACCAGTTTGTGAAGTAGCCAATAAACTATCACTGCAACCAGGTATAAATCGAACAAAACATGGATCTAGTGATGTAGAGAGTGGGACTTGAGCACGACCCGATCGAAGATCATATACCTAGATGCACAAATGCGTAATATAATACAACGATATCAATAACTACAAAGAGATACATAGTAATAGTAATAAAATAAGATAGGAAGAGGACAAACCACTTCTACCTGTCAGTCACATGATGATACAAACATTAATTCGATTTAAGGAGTGAGAAGCATTAATTTCTAATTGTATTGACTTTGGAGGACAGTATTTTAAGTTATGAAAAATCATTGATTACGACTTTATTAAAGTTGGATAGTAGTTAGTGGAAATCTGAACGCGCGTCTTGTTCTATTCAAGATACATCAGCTTTATGCGCTTGCATCCCAGTACTGTTAATGTTCACCTTGAGGATTGAACTCAGTGCGTAATTAGATGAAAAACGAGTGGTTTGGACTCCACTGACAATGAAAACCTGTGACTAATTGGTTGTATATAGTCAATACATTCAGGATGTACATATCCCAATAAAAATTGATCAACTTCAGTCTTTCGCATCAATAATGAGAAAATAACCCTTACAAATCGACTGTGACTGTTTAGTGGGGTCTTAAATACTTCATTCTCCCAAACAATGTGGATAAAAAGATAAAAACTTTATGGACTGATGGTATGTTACAATTTTAAATAATTTAGCATTCATTCAAGTGGATTTTGTAGGTCAATCAGTATAATAAATAAAAATGCTGTCTACCTCCAAATGAAAGGAGAGGTTAGAAAAGGTCGGCTCTGTAAGATAACACACCAAGCTATGGTCGCTCTGAGTTCATAATGCTGGCAATAATCTTTGAAAAACACAGAGCTGATACATCAGAAACTACTCCAACGGAAAATTCATGCTCGACTAATCTTAGGTGGCAGCAATATCCTGAGATTTGAAACCACACTCCTAGCTACATAGTACATTCAATACTCTTTGATCATCTTATAGGTCTTTCAACAAGAAATATTCTTCCACAGTATTAACGAGCAAGGAATGTTAACAACTTGAAGAATTCTTACACTCGAATGCATCTTATTTATAAACAGATTGCTTTCTGCTTGATAATATTTCTTCGATTTTAATTTTACCCTATCTTTTATATGTGAAGAGTGAAATGTCATTCCTGGTCTCCTCAAAATGTGCTTCATACGATATATATACCAAGAGATAATCTTGATCTATGTGAGTGGAGAACTTAAATGAAACACTTTGAAATAGAATTAATGGTTATTCATTAGGGCAATAATCAATTTTGCACAAAATCAAATTAAAATGCAAAATTTAAATAAAATGAAGATCATACTCTCAACAAGCGGTCCACACGTAATCCAGAATCACCGATACGTGACCATCCACAAGTGACTAATGTATGACTATTCGCATCAACTGTCATATCAGAGATTTCACCAGTATGCGCGTCTAATTCACGTACAATACCATGACTGGTACGCGAATCGATTATCATAACCTGAAGAGTATAATCCGAAAAAAAAGCGTCGGATACAAAATTTTGTTACAAAAAATGACAGAAATTTCAATGAATCGTAACGACTATACTACTGAGATTGTTTACAGTAGTCAACTTGTGAAAGAAATATATATTCAACTAAACCATTTCCGCTCCTAAAGTCACAGTTCGATGGAAAGGTTTGAGAAAAGGGGAAATATGAAACTCGGATAGTTATTGTGTGGTGAATCCACCGGTACACTTTTAAAGACTATTTATCAAATAATTTTTTTATGATACAGTCGGGACGCTAATGATATATATATATATATAATGAAGGGAAACTTACTTTTCCATTTGTATTTCCAGCGCATAAGCCACCACTGAATGGTCGAAGCACTACAGACCCACCAATTCCAACATCTATTGTATTGATTACTTCACCCCAACGTTCTACAGCATCTACTTCTAGTAGGGTTGGTTGAAGACCACCCAAGAAAAATCGTGCGAAGTTCCCCAAACCATTACCAGCTCCTCTAATACTGGATCCACTCATCAAGGTACCAGTAGGACCAGTTACAGCTAAACATTCTAACTCTAGCATGAATTTATGTCTGAAAAGGAAATTATTATTTATAAATAACATGAATAAGGGATAAATTATTGCAAGGTGATATGTATCAGTTTATCCAGTTAGTAAAATATTGATTATTGTGTTTAGCAATGAAAACCCAGTAAGTAAATACACTCACATAAAAACAGTTGACTAATCTCCCACTCGCTTTAAACACACGATTCAGATGGTGGGGAAACATTGAAGTCCTTATAAGTAATGCAGTCGTTTGAATTCGGCTGATCCAATAATAATTCAATGCCACCCCACACTGTTACTTGTTTAAAAGCTCTAATTAGTCGCAGCATTGATCTACAAATGCTGAACCAATGGATGATATTTGCCCTGAATTTGAAATGGGAATATAGAGAAAACAATGATGAATAAAACATTTTAAAAAATGTCCCATCATTATGTGGCTAACACAAATTATAGAGGAGTCAACTGATTGTTATTAATTTGTGAAATAGTAATTAATTATAGATTTTGCGCGATAATCTTCATCAATGATTGATAACTTATTGTGACATGGCGCAAAGTCGACTGCACATGCCTTGAAATATTCATTCTTTACATTCGTATCTACATCTTAAGTTTCTGCATTATTCCATACTTTTAATACACTTATTTCTTCTTTCTAAACCATATTTCTAATCTTTCTTAATATCATTAACCCTACAAGTAGTTTGATCCTTTCTTTTTTTATTAACAGAGTTAATTCCACCTCTCTATGATGATTTCATGAGATAACCTGTACCGATTGATTGATAGTTAGTTTCTAAAGAGGTGAAAATGAGACAAAATCCTTCAAGTTTATTTACCAAATGATCAAAGGAAACTATCTTAATGATACCTATTTTCTTCCCATAGTTATCAGTTTAACTGTACTAACAATAATGTGTATTAACAAGGTAAATAAATAAAGTTAAAAACATAATTGTATCTTAACAAAATTTCACGTGTTTCTTTTATACTAGCTCATTCGACATTGATGATAAGAAATACAATCAATACAATAAATATGTGCTAGGAATGAGTTGTCAGTGATTATTTTGCTCAATATAAAACTCGACAATATCATATATATTATACAATTTTTATAGGAATGAATGCTCTGATCTGTGTATAGACATATGACCAATGTTTTCATGGTTGAAATCACGAGTCTATCTAAGCTAGAACATCTTTGAAAACCTAGAAGTACTAGATAACCGTTTCTTCTTAGTATGAGACTCCTCAGCAGTGCTCATTTACGATCGTGCAAACGGGACTCAAACACAAGACCTTCGGTCTTGTGTGCGAACGCCTAACATCGAGGCCACTGAGTCGGCATCCAACGATGTTAATGTCTAACTTCAATCTTGCCCAACCCTTCATCCATTGTCCGAGGTCTGTCTCATATTCGAGTCCCATACTAAGACGAAACAGTCGTCCAGTGTTTCCAGGTTTTCAATGGTAATCTAACTTAGAACTCGTGATTTCGATTGTGGAGATACAAAAATCTCAAAAATCTACATACTGACATGACTAATATGTACAAGCCAATATAGACTTCCACATCATGATGATCCAATCGAGCTCTATTATAATTGAAACATTTGTTTCGTGAGGTCATAATCATACCCAATCAGGTTGGTTGGAAAGTGGACTAAGAGCATCAAACTTATGTTCCGGCGGTAAAGTCAAATTGTTATTTCCCACTGTAACCAATATCTGCAGATGCACGGTCTTCAAACAACCAGAGAGAATTAGTGAAGGTCAGTTCTGAAAATAGCACATCTCACGTTGCCCCACAGATTTCTGTCTCTGGTGACAAGATCTCATCTAATACACCTATAACACTGTTTACAAAATAATCGTGACCGGGTCCGAACAGTTATCCCTTGGACTTTGCGATCACTATCCCAAGTTGTTAAGATCACTTCCTCCTAACATAATTTCCTTTCCAGGTACTTCAAAGAAAAGCATCCTTCCACGGTGTGGACAACTAGGAAATGACAACGTCCCTTTTATTACTAACAGCACTGCAGGCTTATTGCATGTTAGAGTTCAAACTAAGTTCGATTTTCGTAAAGATTTCGGTCGATCAGACCACATTACCAAAACGTTGAACATTTGTTCTGGTCTATGAAAAACAAATTTGAAAAAATTGTTTGGCGCTGGAAGTCTTAAGCGCCAAGTCTGAAAATCATGAATTCGATTATCAGTGAAGCACTAATGGATGCCTTACTGTATTTTTGAAGACAAAGAAAATATAAAAATGAAACAAACCAAAGATGGAAAAATACAATTCAATCCTGCGACTAAAAATACAGGTTCATATAATCAAGATTTCAACAAAATACTGGTTGTAATCCAATTAAACTTACACAACAGAAGCTAATGGTCTGCCCATTTTTGTATAAGCATGTAAAGCATTATTAGCCAAAACAAAAACAGAATGTTCCATTGGACGAGGTGAAGGAAAGACTTGTTTCAATCCATTATATGGTGTGACAGTTTCAAGTGAATTCACATCAGAAATCAACGGTACAGTAAGCGTTATATAACGTTCCATGGTAGTTGAATAGAATGCACTCATTTGACCCTGAAAAGTATTCACCAAAAAATGTACAATAATGCTAGGTGAATTAAAAAAGCCTTAGTTGACAGACCAACAGATTATATATATTTGAATCAAAACTACTAACTTACTGTACGTGTCACACACCAGATTAATTCTTCTAAAGGATCGAAAGCCACATCTGCAATCCGATCAGTTTGAAATAAACAATCCATCATTTGTGTTCCAGCATGCCAATAACCACCTGTTTGGTAATATTCTGCTCCAGTCAAAGTTGGATCATACTGTGCTTCAGCAGGTAAAGTAAGACTAGAATCGCCACCATCATCCTCATCGCCAGGTGATATATGCTCATCACATGGATGTGGATGATCAGATGAATCGTTCTCAGTTGTATACGACATAATCTGTTTACACGATAAGTTTGTGTAGAAATTTTACTGAAAAGAGACAATATCAAAAAAACCCGGTATATATGTGAATGCTATTTATATAAGGCAAAAATGAGCTTTCACTGAGTAAGCAGTTGGTTTTAACATCATACCGTAATTAATTTAGCCTCGGCAACCGCATATTGTTAGCCATCATCATTAAACAACTACAATGTAGTTCAAAGTTGAATATACATAAAATTTGTACTAGTGACATAGTATACAAAATTCTGATGTAACAAACTTTTTTAAAAGAAAGAAATACACCTTTAGGATGACTGAATTGTGTACACCATTCAACAAGACTAATATTCAAAACCCGTTCACACCGTAATAGTTTAATGCCATAAACCAATAATTCAGTATACTTACTGCCAGTGGAGTGAATAATTATTATCATAAATTACACAGAAACCATCTGATCGTATTAGTGTTATACCATGGTAACTAAACGTATTTAATGCTTTCTTTAAAATTTTAACTTTACAAATAATGTTAATTTCTGGTTTTAAAACTCCATATAGTATCAAGTATTCTCAACTGGTTAAAAGATGCTGACAAAAATGCTGAGATCTTGCTCTTTTTCTCTTACAGTTGGTACATCGTCATTCACTAACCAACTACTTCAACTAGTTATATCACATGATATATACAAAAAAGAAAACAAAACATCCATGTTCAATTAAAACGACTGATTTATAAAATTAATATTTCTTAACTCATAGGAATTCCATCTCGAGAGTGATAAATGGTAAAGTGTTTAAATTGATATCATGAATGGATCAATCTTAAACTACTAATGAAACTCAGAGGCACTGGAAAATCGTTTCGTCCTAGTTAGGCAGTTATTCACTGAAGACAAGGGTGGATGGTTGTGCAATATCATAGATTGGTTGAAGCTAGACATTAGCACTTTCAAATATCGGCTCAGTGGTTTAAAGGTTAAGCGCTCGTGAGTGAAACCGGTCTTGGGTTCGAGTTCCGAGTGCGGGATAGTGAATGAGGATTGCTCAGGAGTCCCATACTAAGACGAAACGGTCATCCAGTGGTTCTAGGTTTTCAATGGTGGTCTAACATTCATGATATCAGTTTAAACACAACAAACTCCATAACCCTATACTGATAAGTAAAGTTTATGATTGAGAACGATTGATAAATTTTATAAAGTAGATTTCCTACATTTCTTAATTTATTGGTGATGATATATTAAACTAAGTGTGAAAAAGCTATACTAGCTGACTAAGTTCTAACATTGTTGTATACAAAGGACAAAAAGTATTTTCCCCAAGACATTTATGTATAACTGTGCAGTGTTAATATTTATGCGTGGATAGAATACATGTATATATATATATATCACGGGGTTAAGGTCATTTATCACTAACTTATAATTATAATCTATGAATAGATCCGCGTTGCCTATTCCTTGGATTTCAATACACTCAAGTTGAATAATTGAATAAAACTCTTAGTTACGGATTGTTTGCAATAATTCATCTGAACAACAGATTTTGAGACACACTGTTTGTATGGTGTCTCCTGGGTAAGTAATAGTGAAGTTCGACGCAGGGTATTAGGGAATGATGGTAAATCAGTTGATGAGAATGTGAATCCTTATCGACTGAGATGGTTGGGCCACGTGTTACGTATGCCCGAACACCGATTACCATGACGTGCAATGCTAACCGATGTTCGGGATGGTTGGAAGAAAGTTAGGGGCAGCCAAACCAAAACGTGGCATCAGTCCACAAAGTCACTAACTTCTAGTCTGAGCCATGTTGGTAGATGCAGACTACTTGGTTGGGGTCCGCATGACTGTCGTAACCAATGGTTGGACACTCATGGTGACATGGCTCAGAATCGATCACAATGGCGTCGGTGTATACACTCTCTGTCCTCCCATAAACTAAGAGATTAAAATCGCTTCATATCTTTCTTTCTACTAACTAATTCTTTCTTCCTGTACTATATCCTTATTACAATCTTTCTTTTGTATATTACCACCTCTGAATTAACTACTTTTATGAATTCGGTGTCCATCTTGTTGTGTTAATGAGGTATGGGAACTTGGACCGATATATGTATGTGCCTGGTCCTACGTTGTAGCTGACTGACTGACTATTTGTGTGAATGCTTATGAAGCAGAAGTGAGGATTCGAACCTGCACTCCAGTTACTGAGAAAGTCTAATAAAACATCCAGCTAATACTCCATAAATTATTATTTACAATTGGTTATGGAGTCAATAATTGCAGGCGGAAAAAAACGATACTAAACATCAAGGATGGATTTTGTTAAATTAACTAATAAGTAAACAAAACATCAAACGAAAAAGGGTCCTATCTTTATTAAATTAATCAAACTAGACAATAAAACACTATGTTTATCAAAAAATAATTTAAACAAACAACTACAGTGTGGTAACCATTAGCAACAATCTCCAAAAATAACCATTCGACAAAATAAGAACACAAGCAAATAGAAAAGTATATCATTTATAAACAATAGTTAAATATAAAATCACTCATATTGGGTGAATCTTAAGTATACAATCTGAATGACTTTCAAGTGATAATCGTTACGGCTAATTAGAAAACACTTTAAAGGCAAATGAATGATTTATCAAGCTAGGAACTAGGATTAAGATAGGATTTCTGAATTATAGCTGATAACGGTCCTAACAACATCCAAGATTAACACCTAATATAGTCTTTCTACAACTTAATTCTCATGTTTTTAGGTATTAATGCCAAGGTTAAACTTAGTAGCTTCAAGTAAATTGAGCATTGAATAGAAGGTTAATAACATATTTTGTTATATTCTAATGAGTAGAAAATTGTATTAGCAACAATGAAGTTCCCAAACATCAGAAATACAATTTCCCATTCATTGGAATATCACAAAAATATATTTATTACCAGTTTATAAGTAATACATTGATTATCATTATTGAATAAAATGGAAGGAATCTAATATGACAGCAGTTATTGTATACACATTCGTGTACTTGATTGCAATTGAGTTGTTTAAATTGAAATAAATGGATCGAGTAATATTCTTTCAATTGTAACCGTATAAAGATATTTCCCTATTTTGATTGTTAATATGCTTTTAATTTATTAGGTAAAGATTTATTTACTTAACTTTAAGCTACATGTTTGTTAATTTGAGGAGTGATGATGCTATTGGGTTCTACAAACTTAACTAGGTGAGGTGGGAAGTCAAATTTGTTAACCACCGCTTATAATGCACCCTTTCATGTAGACTGTTTTTTTTTAACAACCTGAAATCAAAACATAGTGTACACGATATACAATCATTTAGACTGGTGTGACCATATTGCACTTTGATCAGCAGCAACGAGAACTAGACAAATTATAGTATATTGGTTGCTATTCAGGTATCAATCAATTTAAAAACTATGTCCCTGTAAAAATATTTATTTAAAAAACCTTACCGGAATGACAAAGAAGACGAGGTTCTAATGCAAAGAACAATTTACTAACCAAAATATTTTGGTGTTAATGTGAATTTGGGGATTGGTGCCCTAAGAAAACCATCTGCTTCGATTTGGACGACCGGGCAGTATCTCAGAGCTCACACAAATCAACTGATTTGTGAGGCGCACAAATATTTAGTGCCTTCTTGTACCAATGTTTATAAGTTTAAATAGAAATAAATAAACAAAATGTCATCTAGCCAACTAATCTGTATCAATCGTTAATGTGTTCAACCTTAAGTCACTAAGTTGCAGATTCAAACTTACTCCGAAGCTTTTTGGTTTGAGCGACCGGGTAGTACCACTATCTACCACACTTTGACTGTAACTAAAAGCTAATTATACGAATCTGTACGTGATTGACAAGTTAGTAACAATAACAAGTAACCAACGTCATATTTTCCTAGTCTTAGGAGTATCATGATGTTGAGTCACGTGATCGGTGGAAAAGGAGCAGTAAAATGGACTAGAAATAACACGATATTATCAATTAGTATTCAGTCATAGTAAACACACATGTATATTTACAACAGTCAGTCTACAAGTAAGCGAAGTAACGACACCACAATTAGAAAGAATAATCGACTTAATATGAGAATTTATTTCAATAAAGTGTACAAATAAATAAGTATGCTTATTTTTTCTCCTTTGTCTTCCATAGTAGTAGGCAAATTCAAAATTCTAACTGATTTTCGTGCAATTTGGAACATGTGAAGACTCCTTCCGGTGCATTGGATCTATTTACTGTATCGGATAGAGAAGGTGGTAAGTGAAAATGCTGTGGAATGATGAAAAAGAAAACGGATTAGAAGAGAAAAAAAGTGAAGACAATTTGATTAGTCTATATTCTCCTATGGAAAAATTATGCCGTCATCCAAACTTGGGAACAGTGGTTTGGTTCATTAAAACACTCGGCTTTATACTAATTTATAGTAGGTTTGAAACTCATACTGTCAGTTTCAGCTTAAACAACCAAAAGTCGTATCACTACTAATACTCGAAGAATAGTATATGAACCTATCAGTTAGTCATAAGCAACATAAAATTTGGTACATGCGTGCATCTGCTAAAGTTGCTACACCACAATAGCAAGACAAATGTCAGAATAGTAGTAGTAACAGTATCAGTAATAGTCAAAATGACTATACATAAACGATTTGCTTTGAGAATGAATTCGTGAAATAAAAAGTACTTTATATTTTTGTCGCACTTTGCTGATGTGACATATGAACTCGGACTGGCGAATAATTGTGCCAAGGTTATGACTGACTGGGTGATACTCTGTAGCTCGCTTATTATTTGTAAATCAGTGGTATGGTTTTGAAAAATTGAGCTTCTATACCAATAGGCCGTAGATTTCTTAATATGGGTTAGATTATACATATGATTTTAAATAAGAAATCGTTCGTTTTGTCTTTAGATAAGCAAAGATGGATGAATTAGTTTTCCACAGTCTATGTACAAACAGATCAGTAGATCGCTTAATAAATTACTTTTTTTCTCCCTTCGTTTCAACTCATCCATCAGGTACAAATTCATGTATTTGGCTTCTAGTGATGCTACTCAGTTGTCCACACAATAGTAGGTGGAGTGGTAGTCGAACCAGGGACAAGTAGCTGAAAGTCGAATGCGCTGACCACTAATTGAGCCGCCATTCCAAGTATTGTCTGACTTAACTCACTTCCTTTAACCTGTTGTATAAGGATTTTTATCCTTTTGTGCTCTATCATTAAGACTATTAACATCGCTAACATAAAATAAAACTCAACAAGAGACTTTTTTTCTAAGAAAAGACAAAAGTCCTCTAATTGTACTGATCATGCTATTAACATGGAAAAAGGAATTCTAAATAAGTGACTAACTGTTCGTGTATTCAAAGGCATAAACTTAATTATAGCATCGAAATCTTTTCTGTTCAAAATAGAAAAAAACTTGATTTCATAGAAATAAACAACTAAGTATTATGTACTTAGTGTTTCTTAAAACCTCACCACTTTTAAACAATAAATAAACATGCTATCCAAACTATCAGAGATAACAGTAACTGTGGATAACACAACGTAAGCTGGCGAACAACACACGCGATATAATAAACTATACACTAATCTCAATAGTTGAGATCATGAGTCAATTGAAGCTAGACCACCATGGAAAACCTGGAAGCACTGCACAGCCGTTTCGTCCTATTGCAGGACTCAGCAGTGAGTACCCACGACCCCGTCTCACGAGATTCGAAACCAGGACTCATAGGTCTCGCGCGCAAGCGCTTAACCTCTAGACCGCTGAGCTGGCCGGTATCCAACGGTGTTAATGTCTAACTTTAAATAATCCACGAAATGGAGCCGTCCAATAACACATCAACATTAATCCCAAGAAAGTAAATGAAAGTAAAACTGGTCGCTCAGCTTCTTGCTTACTAATTGACAGGTAAGTAGTATTGTCTTCACAAATTATTGTGGCCTTCGCCAATTGATTTTAGTTCAATCCCATTGGCAAAAACTTGAGGACACACAATTCTCTTTAGAAAGAGAACACCTTGAATAAGAGAACGAGCTTACATAGCAGACAGAAATTCTACGCTTTCACTCGTCAGTTGAACTGTCATTGTAATTGAACTACCTTCTTCTAAAACATGATATAATAATCCTTAGTGAGCAATTTACAAATCAATATCAGTTAAAAACAAGAGTTCTACGCCATGTACTCTTCCTTGAAATGACTTTTTGATGTGTGTTTGGAAAACTGTATAGACATATAAATGAAGGTAATTTTCACCTGCACAACTAGCTGATGTCGTTTTATCTTGAAACACCATTCAAGTGTAGATGATCTGAAAGCTGGTTCAAGTGTATTCCCACTGATTAACCAAGGAATATGAAGAACTGTGAGTAGACCATCATATTCTGAATACACTGGATTCGCCTGTATCTGGTCACGCAGTCCTTGTACTCGAAACATATAATCACAGTAATGAGATAGACGAGTCAATAGACCAGGCGGTAGCTAAACGAAGAACATGTTAAATAAACAAAACACGAATTAACATGGAGTCAGTTGGATATGACTGGATTTTTCATTTACTATCAACACACAGTTTGACAGAATAACAAATTGAAATGTTTGAGTATCTTATTTTATGCTTGTTAACAATGCTTAGTAAAATTAGTTACAAATACAGATGTAAACTAAATTTCTATAATTTACTAACACAGATAATGAACGCATATAAGTTACTGATTGTAGTATGAATCACACAGTTTTCAACCGATAGTTTTCAGAATTTTAGCAGTTTCATTCACGTAATCTGACCTCTTTTTATATAACTGAAACGAATATTCAATGATTTCATAGATGGGTGCCATGTTATCATCTGATTACCATCTCCTCCCAGTCGACTCGTTCACTAATCATCTCATTTACTGAGTACGTGTACGTGTATGTACATACACAGACAGCGCGAGAGCTAGTGATACCACCCAGATCAGTCGAGTGCTTTATCTACTAAACTATCGCTTATTAATCATTACAACACATTTCATTAAGCAGTGGTTCAGCGTACATAATACATTACATCTGCTTTATTCCGTAAAGATTTATAATCTGACTGACTCATTCTTCTATTACAGTAAAATTTGACATTTTTAGCCGATGATTATACTACACAAAAAGAGGGCTCGAAAAATACTGATGATCAAATACCTGTTTAGTACTCAGTTAATTTTATCGCTTTGCATGCAACACCATGATGACTGGTCATTGGATAGGCAAACAAATATAGGATTAATTGGATAGTTATAAAACCAGTTAAATGAGTTTAGATTAACAAAGTGAGAGATTTCGTGTTACTTTTATGTTTCGGTCCACAATTGGTAAAATGGCCTACTGATATAATGAACACGAATCAACCATGATGGTCAAGTCTTATTTGTTTTTATTTTATTTTATTTTAACACATAGATATTCGTACAAGGAGGCACCAAATACATATGAGCCACATAAATCATCCGATTTGTGCGAGGGCTGTGATACTGCCCGGGTGCCCAAAGCGAAACAGGTGGTTTTCTTAGGGGGCCACACCCCGAGCCTTCGACCTGAAGGTCTAACCCACAAGGCAGTGGAGCATCGTAAGAAGATGCAGTCCCATGGTAGCCGGTGACCAACAATTAGTTCATACGCCATTTGTTCCCGCAGGATACTGGAGCCCATGTGCACCATTGATTTGGAATCCGGTTAAAGCGCCGGACATTCGCTTTTCGTCCTCTCAATTTCGTAAATAACACCCCCGCCACGAGAAGGCAGTGAGTAGGACTTCCCTGGCAGAGGCTATATACGCGTGGCCATGTGAGAGCATTTCGAAGGGGAGAGCAGACTCTCCCCACTCTCGGCCGTACCAGGGCATTTGGGGGCAAGTCTTATTTGATTGGTAAGTGACCCACAAAAATAATATTTCCCAAATACTTGTTTGTTGAGTGACATTTATTTACATTTACCCAGTATATAAGCCTGTCACTTTTCTAGAAAAACCTTGTTCTGTTGTTCGATTGAGTTGTCTATTGAAATCGACTCATTCAGGGTATATATCTCAATAATTCGCCCACATGAGAGGTTATCAATCCGCCACATCATACTGACACTCATTATTTTAACGAATACAATAAGTAGACTATTAAATTAACTCATTCAAAATCATCCTTCATAACACTATTCGATTAAACATTGATAAACATTCAAAGCTTAAATATTTGTATTTTGAAAGGTGATTTGATTGAGTAGAGACAAATATAGAACTTGAAAATAGTAATCAATTTAAATAGTGATGTTAAATGAAGATTGGGTAAATGAAAAAAAGTTCGAACGATTTGTTATGTTAAGATTATTGAAATATACCGTCTGTTTTGTAAGGTTTATTGCTAGAATACTAACTGATGACTTAGTTACTAACTCAATCCATAAAACATAGAACTTTTGAAGAATTAAACAGATAAATCTGAGTTGTCTATTATCTCGCTTATTATTAAGTGAGACAAAATTTGTTTTCCCTTGTTTAATGTAAATGACAACTCATAAGTCTACAATATATATGTGTTTGTTGATAAGTCAGTAGTCATAAAAATACACTCAGTTTGAAACGAATGTTTATTGATCTAAGCTGGCACATTTTACATCAACAGCATTAAGAGCGATTTAAGCAAGAAATATTCTGATTTCACAATATTTGTTTTAATGGACTAGCATGGTGTCATTTGGTAACTTTATTTAGCGACACCTCCGTAATAGTAAAAAGAATGTAAAATATGGAATTAAACTCAGTCAATAAATATTACATTATAAGACAGAACAAATAATGAAAAATCTTAAGCAGAACCTCACCTTCATTGTAGGTAACGTGACAAAAACTGTACAGTGACTGTTTTGAATTAACAGGCGTAATGTAGCAAAGAAATTAAGCATATTCCTGTAAAACTGTTGAGTATCTTTGCAATAACCCCACATAGGAGAGCCGCATGAGTTTATCACTAAGGATAAAGTATTTCAAATGCTATAGATGAATGAACAGCAAAAAACAAACCTATCCGTTGTATACCAGAAGACACTTTTGTGTTTGATCGAAAAATAATTAATTTTTGAATTAAACTGAAGAGATTGGTATGCAATCTATAACAATGAAATGAGAGACTTTAGCATTAAATAATTATTACGTTTTTTTACTATCCGGTTGAAAATAACAAGTTGACACATTTTTCTCAGATATTCGAGCAGTTGCATTCATGGGTATGGTTATATTGAAATGATGCCCTAAACTCGATACAGATGAATTTACATTCTGGAAGTAAAGTGTCATGTAAGAATTAGAATGATGATTGAAACCTTGGTGTTTGGGACATTTTGATAACGCCAAGCGATTTTAAGATCTGAAATTTCTTCTTTGATCTCATTTGTAGAAGTCATATGATCTGGTAATTTCTAAAATATTACAGAGATATCATGTTGGACTATATTTTAAATTATTTCTACACATAGTAAATTGTCAAATGTTTCCGTTGCACCATAGAATATACTATGACCCGATAATATACCTTCTGCTACGAACAAATTTAAGAGCAGTTTTGCATATGTTTGGTGAAAATCTGGTTCTTTAAATCCGAATTGAAATTAATAACACTTAGTATACCGTACCGATAAGAACTATACTTCCTGAGGTCACACCACCACCTGCAAATATTGATGATACTAGTTTAAAAAAGCCTTACCAAGTAATTCGTCAAATGAAGGAATCCCAGTAGAAATTAAGAATGTGGATAGCTTAAATGAACGTTTCACACCATTCATGTCACAGGAACGTGTAACCAATACTCATTAAGAGTCACAATTCCGCTTTTACAATGATTTTCCAACCTGAAAAATTGAAAATGTCTTTTTTAAAAAAAAAACAAGAAAATTTGAAGTAAAGACAGTTATGCAGAAATTCAGATAAGTATAGGTTCAAATGAAACGATTTCTTATCAGGGACTTGAGTTTTGGGCTTAATTTTATCTTGATTCGGACACTTGGAGAGTAAATTTATACAACAGAATTTATTGATAGACAGGAATCTATAGAATTTCCTTCATCTCTTGAACTTTAAATAATCAATATAAATAGGTAGTTGATACCGGAGGCCTTACTGATTGTTTTTGGTTGACAATGGTGTTTCTTAATAAACGTAAAAAAATGAGTTATCACACAATAGTTGTGACTAGACTGATAAACGTGGAGAAGACAACAAACTCTGACAATAGGTTTCCATTCGCCAGTTTTAGGTGATATCGCAATCTCTTCAAACGTAGCAACGGCGACGGGGATAGTACAAGCATGGATCCTGCAAAAGTGGGATTATTGCTGAGGCAGCAGCTGAAACTTACCCAGATACGAAAACTGCGCCTACATCACACATCAAATTCCGCTACTGTACTCTCGAATGATGGCACCACAGTATTGCTGAATTTAACTACCATACCTGTGCTAACGTCACTTTTCACATGTGATTACGGCGTTACGAGGATCTATTTAAATTCCATTTCACCAATCAAGATTACGCTTGGAAGGTTCTCTTTCTACTTCGGAAATTCGGTCAAAGTGAGTTACGTAGGTACGACAATTTGATTTCGCCTCTGAACACACATGATCGCTCATTTTCTGACATTGTTCAGTCATTAAGCTAACAGCTTAGAGATAACTCCTCATTGTTCAATACATGTTATCGATGTTTAAAGATTATTATGAACGAAGATGTTGACTTCCCCAAGCAGGTGGTTTTCTTAGGGGTACACTCCATTAATCTTTAACTCAGAGGTCTAATCCACAAAATGGTGGCGCAACGTTAGAAGATGCAGTCCCATGGTAGCTGGTGATTGACAATGAGTTTACAAACCATTTGTTCCCTCAAGATCGCCGAGCTCATGTGCGCCGTTGGTTTGGAATCAGGGTTTTCCAACTCCTTAAAATGGATCCTCCATATCCACCAACCCGGCTTAGGCACCGGACATTCACTTTTTGTCTTCAAAATTTTGCAAACAACCCCACTGAGCGAAGGCAGTGAGTAGTACTTCCCTGGTAGTGGGTATATACACGTGGCCATATGAGAGCATTTCCAGGGCTACCCACCCTTAGTCGTACTAGTGCGTTTAAGGGAGGTCAAGTGATAAATATTCACGAAACCGAATTATTAACGCCAACACGTCTAATAAAGTAGGATTAAAAACAAGACCAGTGGACATGTTGGTAAGTTTCTTTAATAAAATTACATGCTTGTGAACAAAATAGCTGCTAAAATGATTAGAATGAGACTGAAACACAAGCGTCTAGGAGGCCCAGGTTTTGGGGGTTACTCAAGACCTAACTATCAGGTTTACTTCTTTTCCCACCATAACATATAACTTAGGGAATCTCAAGAGAGCATAGTACTTATCTATCATAAAATGATACACGAAGTTATTCTGCTACCTTGCCAATTTCATTTAAGCAAAACGTCTAGGACATTTTAAGATAAGCTGATTCACTTAAGTTTGCATTCCCCTTATTGCCTACTAAAAAGTTTACGACTAACAATAAAAATTATCAGCCAACTATTAACAACTCGGGATCTGGAAAAAAGATATACCGACCCATGTAGCCATAATACACATTAGTACAATAAAAGAACTAAAAACTGAAATACACCTTAACTACTATAACATATGGAAATACATAGTATCATTAATCGATGTACCACATCGACCTAAAACTACAACACTGTATTGCTTATTTCATGGTTCCACAACATAACAATAATGATACGAAGACACAGCTACTAACAACATGTGTCTTCTACTTGTATATACCATGTTGCACAGCTAGGAATTAATGAGAGGATTACCGGGAAGTATTTCGATAGAGATCTGTACATTATAGCTGTCACTGGTTGATGATCTCAATAGAATAAATATTAAGCGGTTGTAAAGGGATAGTTATTTTGAACAAGATTAACTTGATTGCAATGGACTCACAGACAGCAGAAAAGATCTAGTTCCCCACATGGCGATAAAATATTTCTTGTGAAACCTGGTGATAGGACTGCGTTCTCTTTGAAAGTCATATTGATCTAAGAGTGACTACAAATCCAAAGGACAATTACTTAATCCTGATCACACAGAATCGTTTTGTAAGGGGTACTCAGTACTTTACAGGTCTTATCAACACTACAAAACTAACTCAGGATGAGGTGTCCTTATTTGTAAACTGATCTTTTCCAGACTCATCATCCATCCCTGAGAAAGTAACATCACGGGAGAAACATAAATCCACCCTCAGGCTTAACATACGCTGCCCTTCGTCTTACCTCCCTCCGACGAACCAAACTGGAATAGTAGCATTTCAAGGAACAAGTGTTCTAGCCCTAATAGTCTAAATAAGTTGTCACATTAAGCGAAAGTGACTTGAGGATTCTCATCCATTAGGTTAAATATAATCATTTCCTCATAAGAGCAAGTAATACTTACCATGTCCTTGAAGCAGGTATGATTTACAGCTTAGTGTACAAACGTGTACGATAGTAAAAACTACCAAACACAAGTTTATGTATTCGACTTTAAGTCATACTTCTTGTGGAAACTGGTGATACTACCAGGTTGAGTTTGAACGCAACAGCTAGTTTTAATCTTCTCTGGACATGCCTTATCAACTTCTCAGAGGGATTCGGATAGTAAGTTTGCACAGCTCAGACCGATAACTTCATACAGCTGTAATAATATGTTGTGGTAGTTTAAATCGACAGACAGATGTGCCAAAGTTTATACTGCTTATAACTGATTGAAGCTAATGGGGTGTTTTGGAACGACAACCATCCCTTTATTCCTAGTCTACAATGTTAACTGGTAGATGGCTATGAACAGCATGTAACGGGATATGCAAAGCTGCATTTGTAAGTCAAACTAAAAAAACACAGTTGGTCGAACTAGACTTGTAAGCAACGTGCAGCTCGGGATCTAGTAATCATGAGTTAGTTGTACCGAATTGTATTCATTTTAAATTTTTAAAAAATAAGGCAGACGACTGAACAGCACATTTGAGTTGTCTTATTTGGTGAGGAATAAATAACTTTCGTGTGCAATGAGAGCACCCAGCAACAAACTTAGTTTGTTTCTTATGTTAAACGTACTGCTTGGCATCAAAACTATAGATAAATTCACAAAGTGATTACAGTGAAATCCGGCTAATGATATTAGTTATCATGAGTACGAATTCATTTCAACGACACAGACGAAATTATTGTGATAACTGCCAAAAGACCTTGTACCAGTTACTTTGGTCAATCAGGAAACACCAAAGGTGTGAGAGACCTAGGTCACTCACTTTCTAGTGTGATAAATATCACACTCGCAGTTAGGACTTAACTTTAAAAACCCTGAAATACAGCTGGCGCCAATTTATGATGATAGCTCTAGTTCAAACACCTGATTCTAGCTCGTTTTTCATTGATTTGGTAGTATACTTTAACTTAGTCACTAATTAGTTACTTAAGTCAGCTAGGTCGCTCGAGTGATTAGTCGATTGATAAAATTGGAAACTCCCAAAGCATGAGCTTTTAGCCCGGAATATGAACCAAATATCACTAAATATTACTTTTGACACTTCATACGATGTTTCGGAGAAGTACGTTTCGCAACACTCAAAACAATACACTCACCACGAGACATACCACCACAATCTCTGAGGGACGCCAACAACCGCGCGGGTCCAATATTCAATATTTTTGTCATGAGCTTGTATAAACCATTTGATTTCTTTGCTCTTGCTTCTGTTTGCTTTAGTACTGTTCCATGTATTTGGTTATGCTCAATGAGTAATCTTCTAGCCCCCCGACTCCGTCAAATCTACTGTATTTGGTAGTTATTTGTGGGTTTGTATATCCTGTAATTCGAATGAGTGTGTTTGACTCAGGGAAGTAAGGTTTCTAGAAACCGTCGGCTATCGTATTACCATCCAGGAGGTTGGCCGGTTAGAATGTGCAAATAATAATGTGATAATGTGAGTGCTAATAGAAGACGTTTGTCCCAAAAATAATTAATTAATTTACTTAATAATGTTTAAGACAGAATTAGAAGAATAGGAGGGGAACGGAGATGATTATGAGATAAAGAGGAAGCAATCACTGTGTTCATTTGTGAGACACGCATTAGTTACAACTGATTCAAGAGGGAAATGGTAATCTTTGGTGAGTATATGCTAGTCAATGTATCAAAGTATCAACTGAGAGGGCTGTTGTCACTTCGGTTTGAAGGGCACTCCAAATGGAGGTAGCTCTCGGTGATATAAAGCAAAAGTGAACTCTGATGTTTGCTCTTGCATGTGCTATTTCTCGAGGGTTGTCTCGGGGAGCATAGTGATAATTTTTCGGTGATATGCTCGCGTTGAGGTGGTTTGGTGTAATTAATATGTAGTATGTCATATTCAGATCGCCTCCTAGTCCCCTGTAGCTTATCCAGAGTTATTCCATGTGCTGGATTCTATGTAAATAAGATTTGTGTTTTAGACCTTACAACCACTTCGTTTCCCATCTCTGTACTTGATCCAAGAGATTTATGTCTCTTCTGAAAAGAGGGGTTCAACGGCGTTGTGGATTTCAAAGTTTATTTTATGGTAATAGCTACGAGAAGGCTTGTGGAATAATCCACCTCAGTACATTGTTTCGAAAGTGGTCCGTATTATTGTGCAGGTTTGGGACATATAAGGGATCGATGAAACTGATATTATATAACGTCAAGATCAAGGGCTTCAGCGTTCTTCAGTACTTATGAAATGGGCGAGACTAT